GAGAATAGTTGAAGACTGAAGAATAATGAAACAAGAAAAAAAACGAAACAGATCAGTCTTAGATAATTCAAAGATCCGTTTATTATCAAAATTTAGTTGCGAAGCTGTCTGCTGTACCATTTGTCAACCATCTGATAATGGGTGATGGAGGGAATGGCACCGAAATACGCACCGGTCGATCTCAGTTTATCACCCGGAACTAAATCCCCTTTTCTTATCCCCTTTCCCCTAAGAAAGAAACATCAAAGGATCGTAGAAATATGTGCAAGCTCGGATATCATTAAGAAGACTGCTGACGAACAAAACAGCTAAATTAGTCATCTGGAACAAAGTTTCGGTCATCAACCGCAGAGTTTAGTGATCGATCACTGATGAGCATTTAAGACTACACCACTGATGTAGTATGAGCTCAACTGCAAGTATTGTGTTCATCCAAACTGTTCAGTGGTATTTTGCTTTGTTCATTATGTTACTTTACAGATCTCAAATCCCAATGTGCTCCGTGTATTTCTGTACCGTACTGACTGAATTATTTCACCAGAATACAATTTTTTTTACTTTTAAATTGTTCAAAAAAAATGAAAAAAAAAGTTCAGATAAAATCCTATCTTTAACAGAAAAAAAAGCAGGATTTACTGTGCCGTTCCAGTTAACAAATATTGAGAAAAATCTCGGATCTTTGAATAAAAAAGAAAAAAACGGATAATTTCCAATAGTTGTTGTTAGTTTCGTTGTCAGTGTCGAAATATTGAATGAAAATTAAAAAAAGAACAACTTTTTAATTCATTATATATGACCATATTTTTCTCTGCCTAAATAAACACTGCTGTATTTCCAACCAACCTTTCTTAATTCTGGCTCTATTTTTTTTTTTGTCAAGCATCATAGAACAAATTTACAAACATAATAACATCAAGTAAAAAGAAAAAAAGAGTACATTAAGTATTCTCTATATGAAAAAAACAGTAACAAATAATGACTGGGCAGTCAATAATTGCGAAAAAAAGAGATTTGCTTCCAAAAATTATCATTAGTAATTGAGGAGCGTTACAACAGGAGAACAAAAACAGTAATCAAATATACCAATCATCAAACGTAACAGAATGGTCAAAATTTGCTTCTCTTGGTTGCTTCTTACTATTCTTTTATGATTTACAAAAAAAAATAGTATTAATTTTCAAACAGTCCTTTTGTTTCTTCTTACACTACAATCGTCTGACTTGAATCTATAGCAAAAAAAAGCCGTGAAAAACAAAAACAATAAATAATCACGACATTTAGCAGCAATTTTTTATCAATCGAATAAACAATTTTTTATCTTCCCTAATTCTACACCTACACTTTTCTTGTTTACTGCCTTTACTTTGGCTGCTTTTCTTTCCGGTTCTTCTGAATCATCAAAAACCATTAAATGCTCTGAGTGAATGTTGGATCTTAGAGACACAAAAAAAAGAAGATAAAGACAATGAGTTAGCTGTTTTTCCTATGAATACACGGAATATTACCGGGGCAAAAAGAAAAATCATCAAACATAGAACATGTCAACAACAAAAATAATTAAACATAATAATAATAATAGTAAATATAAAACTATAGAAGAGTTCAGAATACACGTCAATCTATTGATCTGCTAGCATGAAAAAGTCCTTTCGGATTACTTAGACGTCGAAATCGGTCGATAAGGTGTGGCGTTCGGCGTACAGACGTATCGGGACTCTTAAGTTTCTCCTGTTGATGCCTGTAATCGGCGGCCGCCTAAATAACATAGATCAAATATCGATGTTTGTCTTTAGACCAATTGTTGTTGTTGCTGTTTTTT